AAAAAATTGTGTATTTACTGAACATGAACAGACTTTTGTTCTTGTCATTACTTCCTAAAAATACAGTATAGTTAGTTACATAATATTTACATTATATTAGATATTATAAGTCATATAGAGAGCATCTAAAGTATATGGGATAATGTGCACAAACTATGCCATTTTATATAAGGCCTTGAATGTCCACGAATTTGGGTATCCTCAGGGGATCCTAGAACCAATCTGCTCTTTTTCCCCTGCCACACACAAAAATCTTGGGCTACTATAACAAAACACTGTAAATGGAGTGGCTTTAAACAACAAAGCTTTATTTCTCATAGTTCTTGAGTCATTGTTCTCCAGGATCAAGGTGCTGGCAGATTTGGTGTCTGGTGAGGACCTGCTTCCTGGCTCACAGGGAGCCTCTTCCTTGTGTGTTCTCACCTGGTGGAAGAGACAAGGCAACTCTCTATAAGGGCACTAATCCATGAGGACTCTGCCCTCACAATCTAATGACCTCCAGAGTCTTCCCTCTCCAGACTATCACCTTGAGATTAGATACCCAACATATGAATTTTGGAGGTACATACATTTCAGTCCACAGTATGTGTGTATATATGCAGACATATGTATATCAAAATTGGATTATGTTGACTTATGTTTCTTACCCTGCTTTTTAAACTAGTGTATTATTGGTATCTTTTACATGGCACTAAACATCTTCCACAATATAGTTTTGTCATAGATACAGCATCTTCTATCTAGGTCACTTATTCAATTTCCTATTATTGGGTCATTAGGCTATTTATAGTTTTTATCACTATATGCTACTCTGGGATAACTTCCTTTGTAGTTAATTTAATTTTAGTCCACTCATGATTATAGATTTTTGACATAAACCAAAACCAAACCAAAAACCAAAAATAAAACAAAAACAAATAGCATCCCCTGCTACTCCCTTCTAGATCCCCGAGTCTGGAAATCTGGTAATTAGGACATGGGACATTGAATTAGTTGGTTCGCTCCTCAAAATTCTCTGGTGAGCTATTGGTACTGTGAGATTACAGAGAAATCAAAGTTAGTTTGAAAAGAATCCTATTTGTGGAAGTCATGTTTTTCTTTGTTAAAAAGTAGTTGTAAGTAAATCTATGAAAAAAAAATGTTCAACATCATTAGCAATTTAGGGAAATGCAAATCAAACCTACACTGAGATTTCATCTCACACAAGTCAGAATGACTGTCATCAAGAATACAAACAATAATAAAGGCTGGAGAGGTTATGGAGAACAAGGAACACTTCTACATTGTTGGTGAAATTATAAATTAGTACAACATCTATGGAAATCAGCATGAAGGTTCCTCAAAAGACTATAGATGGAACCACCATATGACCCAGCTACACTACTTCTCAATAAATACTAAAGAATTAAAGTCATCATACTGTGGTGACTATGCATGTTTATAGCAGCACAATTCACAATAGCCAAACTATGTAATCAGCCTAGGTGTCCATGAATAAATGGGTGGACAAAGAAAAGGAGGTATATATTCACAATGAATGGAGTTTTATTCAGCCATAAAGAAGATAAAATTATGTCATTTGTAGGAAAATGGATAGAACTAGAGCTACTATACTAAGTGAAATAAGCCAAACCCAGAAGGTCAGTGGTCCTATGTTTTCTAGAGAAGAAAGAGGAAAAAGAAAGGTGTGTATGGGTGGGGGGGGAATTCATGAAAATCTAAGGGAGATTAATAGAATAGAGGAAAGGGCCCAAGGATGGAGGAGGGTAGGGGGAAGAAGTGCTGGGAGTTATATTGGCCAAATTATACTGTTATATTGTGTGAATGTATTTAACAAAAAATCCCACCATTATCTATAATTATAATGCACCAATAAAAAGGTGAAAAATGGTAAAAAAAATGTTTATAGGATTTAAGGGAGATAGATGTTGCTTGTTGGACAATTGAAATTAATATATGTATGTGTCCAGATCACTAGAGTTTACTTTCCCTCCTTTTCCCTAGGATGGTGACAGAGGTGTCTGTTGATGGGAGACTTAGGGCATGATCTGAATACCACAGAGAAATGGAAGACTTTATCTTCCCCTTTCCTGCAGATTCTCCTTCTATTAAGGCAATCTGTGACTATGTGGGGTCATAGTGAGCTTCCTATAAAGTCATATTGACTCCATGTTCACTGCTGAGCCATGTCTCTCTTTGGACAGTGGGTTCTTGGGTGTAGATCATAGACTTTGGACTGAGCCACATCCCCAGCCCGATTTTGTATTATTTAGAGACAGGGTCTCACTGAGTTGCTTAGCACCTCACTTTTTCTGAGGCTGGCTTTGAACTCACAATCCTCCTGCCTCAGCCTCCCGAGAGGCTGAGATTATAAGCATGCACCACTGTGCCACTGAGTTTTTAACGACAGAATCCTTGCTTCTTTTGGTCTTTGTTTTTCCCATCTGTCTAGTGTTTAGAGGTAGGAAATGAACCAGGCCATGTGTAGAGACCTTTCTTTTGGCCACAGCTTTGGTTCTGTGAATTAATTTGTTTATCTTAACCTCCAAATCTGGGTTTTAAGGACCAGGAGTAGAGTTATCAGTGACTTTCTTGGTAGCCACCACAGGTATGACCTAGCAGGTGTAGACCGTGGTCCAGGGAAAGGAGCTCTGTCACCTGTGCATCTTGCCACCTCAGTCATTGTCACTACTGAGTCACAGAGCATTTAACTTATACCATTTGATGCTTACGTTGGAGCAAGACCTAGGCTGAGAGCAAAACCTATCTTAGGCATCCTGTCCAGGGCTGAGCCTGAGGCCATGTCCCCTTCCAGGTTTCTATCAAACCTGTCCCTGGCCACTCTTCCCTGGGATCTTCAACATGTGTGGTTCTCAGCTCCCAGCCATTGGTAACACCCTTGTCAGACATGTCAGGCACTTTCTCCAGTCTTCTTTCTAATTTTCATTTAAAATTAAACTTGCATTTCCGAGTTTAAAAGAAATTCATGTCTATTGTAGAAAAGTGAGCAAAATCTGAAATGGGCAGAAAAATACAAATCATTAGCATCCTCCTCCAAAAAGGGACCATCATTCTTAATTTTGGTCTTGTCACACCTTAGGTTCTCTTTGTCAGTGAGTGCCCTTTGGGGAGGAATACTAGGGCAGCGGGGGCGAGGGGGATAGGCCTTTCCATAAATGTGGGGCCAGGTCCTCAGGAAGACTCTTCGCTCATGGTGCCAGCACAACCATCCTTCCTAGCAAAATTGTGACTCCCCATAGGGGCCTCTCTCTGTGCCTGGTGTCAGTGCATGTCTGTGAAGGAGCCACTAGGAGCAGTGGAACAGTCAGAATTTGAGACTCCACTGAATGCACAGTAGGCTAGAAGCCAGACAGTTCACAGGGCAGGGGAAGTGGTTTTCAAAATTCCTTGTACACTTGGCCTTGGTGATGTATCTTACATTCATCTTAGATCTGCTTACCTGCTGTATGAGCTGCTCTGTCAAAACTGAAGCAGGAAGGGTGGCTGCATTTAAACCTTCCCTTGTACTAAGGCTGGTCCTACTTCTGCAATGAACTGTGCAAACTTGGAGCTCAGTTTCTTGATGTGGAGGGTGGAGATGAGTAATGCCCACCCCTCAGGGGGGCCATAATGGTAAAGACAGGTGTTGGTGGGTCATGGTCAAGGTGAGCTTCTTTTTGTCTCTGAGAAAGATGGTCAAGGAGGGGAAAGACCGTCAAATGTGCTTGAGAGGTCAAAAAGAGGCCTGACCCTGGCACTGGGAAGCCTGGCCCTGGAGAATGAGGGTGGGGACATTCCAGTCAGCATAGCTGATGCTCTGAAAGCTGATCTCTAGGTGGGTGCCAAGTCTGAGGGACTTTGAAGGCCCTGGTGGGCATGGACCTCGTTTCTCATGATCACTGTCCCCAGGTGGCCTGTGGAAGGATTCCAGACCATGCTAGAATGGCAGGATGACAGCACAAAGCTCATCTGCAACCTGCAGGCATGCCCAAGACAGCAGGGGAATTGGGGACACAGGGGTACTCTTCTTGGTGTGGCCCTCAGCTCTTGCTTGAGATTCCTTCAGAAATTCTAGCACAGCATGCCATGTCTGCCACCACCATCAGCCAAGAGGCAACCATGGGTGAGAGGGACAAACCTGGGCCTGGGCCTACACTAGGTGCTCTGCAAACCAACTGCCTCAGAGACTTTTAAAGCCCAGTTCTCCATATCTTTGAGTGATAAATAATATCTAACAGTTCTGCTGATGGAATCGTTAGATCCAAATACCTCAGTAAGTATTTATGTCCCTAGAACTTTATGCCCATTTAAAAAGTACACTTTTTGAGGGGAAAAAAACATTTCTTTTTCATTTCTAAGTAGCTACCATTCCTTTGTAATGGGATTGTGTAGCTGATGGTCTTCATTCAGTGTCTCTAGTCTTGGAGTCATACTGGATGCCACCGCCCTCATTTTATATTCTGCATGGAATTTCATGTGGTGCTTGCAAAATCCCATTTCATAAAGATATGACACCCTGAAAAGGAATGCAGCATGGTCTCATGTTGAAGTGTGAGCTGCTTGAATGGCAGCTGACCGATGTGGCTGGTTTCCCTCCGGTATTTAAAACATTCTTGCACTGCCTTTAAAGTGAGTTCTTAGGGGTGTCCTGGCACATAGTTTGGGAGTGTGGATCTGCATTGGATCTGATTAATGATCTGTAATGTGGGTATTATCCCAGTTTATAGAAGTCAAGGCTCAGAGTAGCCAAGATCTTGGCATAAGGCCGCACAGCTGGATTTTGGGGGAGACTAGGCCTCTCTGGTACTCTGATAATCCTTTGGAATATTAACAGATCTCTTGAGTTATACATCTTGGGGCCTTGAGCACTTGTCCTCCCTGTGATGTCTGAAGCCAAATGGATTCAATTTGCCTCTTTTAGGCCCCAGACCCTTCCCTCCCTTCAAGCCCCCCAGGAGACAGAGTGTGGACAATGAGCCTGTTGTTTTTCCTTCCTCCAGGGGGTCCACTGTGTTCTTGCTGTGTCCCAGATCCCATGGGGCTCTCCTTCCTCCCCACCTATGGCTGCCAGAGTAACCGCACAGCCAGTGTGGCTGCCCTGCGCATGAAAGCCCGTGAGCACTCGGAAGCCGTCCTGCAGTCGGCCAACCTCCTGCCATCCACCAGCAGCAGCCCCAGCCCTGCTGCCAAGCCAGCTCCCTCCGACAGCAGCCAGGACAAGACCCCTCCCACCAAGGAACAGAGCGAGGGAGAGAAGAGTGTATGAGGGTCCAGAGTGCCCCCGCCTGCCGTGTCCTCCTCCCTGCCCTCCTGCTTCTCCCAGCCTCAGCCCTGCAAACTCTGATAGCAAGGAGAAGCCTGCTGCCTGGGGCTCGTGGACCCAGGAAAGGATATCAAGCTCCCTTGGTGCCTGGGGAGTCTGACAGTGGGGCTGGCTTCTTGGGTGACAGGTCCTGATGGCACTTGTAGCATCGGAGTCCCTTCTGTGATGAGACCCCTGAGTTCTCATCCAGACCTACAAGTCTTGGAGGGGAGGCAGATTTGCTTGCCCATCACCTTTCCTGTCCCATTCCAGGGCCACCGTTGCAGGTCTTCTCAACCCCAAGAACTATGGCAGGGTCATCCTTGAGAGACATCCAGGGCTGACGTCTTATGATATGAAATGGGACTGTCCCCATGGCATTGGTTAAGAACCACAGAACTGGTAGAATCTCAAACAACTCTTGGCTCAGGCTAGACTAGCAGTAAACCCTTTTCTCTTATTGGGGGGTATTGGTTGTAGGCTTGGTTAGAAGGGGAGAACACGTGGGGTGGGAAAGGGCTGATAGGACATAGCCTGCTCCAGGGGTACATGGTGCTCTCTCCTAGCAGATCTCACTTGGGCACATCTGGCTGGGCTAATCAGGCTGGCCATGGGTTCCATGAACTGGGGGCCACCATCTTGACACTGGGAGCAAGTGGGGGTCCCCACAACTGAATCATCTACCTGCGGGTTCTGCCTCTCTCCTGGAAAGACCTGGAGGTTGGTGGAGAAGTTGATCAACTGGAAGGCAACTCTCTTGCCCAGGAAAAGGTGAGAGCCCTTGGAGGGGAAGAAGCCCCTAGGAACACCTCTGAAAAAAATACTACATATCTGGATGAACCACCTTCCTCAAATCCCTGGCACCTGGAGGGGATCTCCAGTGGTGATGCTTTTTTTTGTTTTTTTCTTTTAAACTGGGGAAATCAAATGTAGGAAATGAGACAGAAATGGCACATGTGCTGAGATGAAGCTTGGGGAAGACGGCTTCCTTGTGGTGTGAAGAGAATTAATTCCAAAGGGCCAAATATCATGGAGATTTCTGTTTCTGTCCAGAGTGGCCATTTCTCTCGTGTGGATGGTAACCTCGAAGAGATTGAAGGGGAATTGTGCAATAGCATGAGCCCCGCCCCTTGCCCCATACCTGAAAGGTTATGGGTTTTTGGTGGCTTTTGCTGATGGTGTTCCCATGCAAACTGTCATTGTTTTTATGATGATTACTTTCATTTCAGTTGTAATCAAAACGTTATACTTTCAGATCCCCCCTTTTTAGCCTCCCCCGGAACCCCCAAACCCTGAGTGTATCGTGCCTGTCTATGATTACTGCAAAGCATTTGACAAAACATACTGTCTCCTTTAAAGAAAAAAAAAAAATCAAATCCTTCTTCCTGCTGTATTTTGCTTGTTGAGTACAAAGATGAAACGATTTGCCAAAAAGCGGCAAAGTTGCTTCCGTTTCCCTGTAATTACGAATGTTGGGTTGAGCGATGTAAGCTCAAGCCCTTACGCACACTAACTCTTCAATCTAATTGTTTGATTAAACTCGTATTTCCTCCAGAAAGGTACATAAATAAGTGAACTGTTGGGCAAATTAAGAATACTTAACAGCATTGCATCCGAAAAGTAGTTACGCTGATTAAATTTTGTGTCCTTGAGGACTTTCAGGAAATTACTTTTGATCGTCAATAACACAATTAAGTAAACTACACACACATTAGCATGAATAATTGATAAGAAATTATGTATTACCACGAAGCACTGATTTAATAATTCATGACGCGACACTCTAGTGACTGTGCAAAACTGGATAACATCGAAAAGTCTGCCTGACGTTACGGAAAGAAAGGAAAGAAGCAAGCGCCAAACCTCTGCAGAGATATTGAGTACTTAGTTTTGTTGTACAGAGGCAAAAAAGTAACCGATGCATGATGTAGTTTCTGTTTGTTTAAATACCCAAATAAATTTAGAAGAGTTAAAAGAAAAACCGAAAAACTCAGGTCCTCTCTTTGTTCCTCCTGGCCCTGGGGCTGCAGGGATGGGTGGAGTCTTTTCTTTCCAATTCTCCACTTTGGTCGTTGTGCAAATGGAAACCTTTTAGAAACTTCCAGGAGAGCTTTGAGGCCTTCACTGAAAGCTTTAGCAGATGCAGCCACAAGACAGAGGTCTCAGTGCAAGCCAAGAGCACTCCCCAGGTGCCCAAGCATGCAGAAGTCAGTCCTTCTGTCCCAGGATGGGTGGACATAGCCTGCCGGATCCCCTTTATGGTTGTCCTTGGTGAAGTAACCTTTTGGGCAGTCATCTCTGGAGCCTCAGTAGTTCACCCTGTCTGCAAAAGTTCATAATGTGACCATAAAAAGGCAGTCAGGCTTCAGTCTGGGAAGGAGGTGCAGGCCCCAGGGATTGACTGATTGATTAATTATTATTATTCATTTATTGGTTGAAACACTCTGAAGAGCATGCCTTAATGCACTCCAGGTTATGGGAATGGAGCCTAGAAACCACTGAAGTCACGACAGGGGCAGCAGCTTCCTCCTGCAGGATGATGGCTCTGAGAGGAGACACAAAGGTGGGGGTGACAGGGTGCGAGGGTGAGTGGTCGTGACACAGGACACTGCAGGACTCACAGGATCCCTTCTGCATTCCTTGGTTGGTGCTTTATTTAGGAATAGCCAGCACTTGGCTTCTCTACTGGGTGGAAAGAGCTTCCCTAGACTCTGCTACTGCCTCATTGCCTGGGAACTTTGCCTGGGAGCATCACTAATCTGAAAATCCAAAGTCCAAAATTCTCCAAAACCTAAGGCTTTTTGGGTACCAACATGACACCATAATTGGCAAATTTCACTACATGAAACTTTGTTTCATGCACAAAATTATTAAAAATATTGTATGAAATTACTTTCAGTCTCTTTGTGTAAAGAGTATATTAAACATATAAATTTTGTGGTTAGACTTGGGTCCTCTCCCCAAGATAACTGTCATGTTTATGCAAATATTTCAAAATTTGAAGGAAAAAAGCCCAAAGCAAAAATCTGAAACACTTCTGGTTCCAAGTATTTTGGATAAGATTACTCTTCCCATTTCATAGATACAGAAACCAAGGCACAGGAGGGTTGGGCAACTTCTCCAAAGTGAAATGGGTGGTAGCCTCCAATAAGGAAGAGGGAGAGCTCAGTCCCTTTCCCTGTCACACAGTGAGTGCTTAATAGATGAATTGATGAAATTAACTAGGTGGAGTCTTTAAGGCTCCAAAGGATAATGGAAACTTATGAAGGCCTGTTGAATCAGGCATGTTTGACAGACTGTGAATAGTGGGTAACTTTCTTTGCTTTTGCTTGCTGTTTGTGGGTTCTGTCCTGAGTGGGTTTGTGGAAAGGAAGGATGGCCCACCCCAGGGCCTTGTCAGACCCCACTCAACATCTCTTAGTCTGGCTTGGCAGGGGCAGAGCTCAGCTTCCCCCATTTGATCTGCCTCTGGACCAGTGTATCTGACCTTACCATGTGTTTCAGTCTGTCCCAGAGCAGGCCCAGTGGGGATTCCCAATGTGGATGGTGCCCAGAACTCATGGGCCTCTCCAGTGGTTTTCTAAAGAGGTCACCAAGAAGCGGCTGGAGACTGAATCAATCCACATAATGGACACTCTTCTTAAATTTCTAACTTCACCAGAAAAAGTGAAACATTTGTTGTTTTGGGGTTTGTTCTTCTTGCAGTGCTGGGGATGGAATCTAGGTCCTTGCTCATACTTGGCAAGCCCTCTACCACTGAGCTACATTTTCAGCCCCCAAAATGAAACTGACAAACCCAGAGCTTGGCTGAAGCAGTGAAGGGCACATTCTGCCTGTGTGAAACCCCAGCTCTTAAGGATGTGTGACTCTGGGCAAGTCTTGGAACCTCTCTGTGCTTTGATTCTCTTACTAATAATGGCAGCAACCTCCTAGGGTTCTTTGAAGATTAAATGAGTCAGAAGCTCATGGTGCCTGGCACAGAGGAAGTGCAATATGAAGCCTAGCTCTTGTCCCACCAAGTCCCACACATATCAAAGGCTTGAAGATGTTTTTCTGGTGAAAAACCTTAATGTTCTCAAGAAGGCAACAGGATGGGTGGGCTTCCAGAGGGAGTTGGAATGGCCACACTCAGTCCCTAAGCAAGTCACTGGGCTCAGAAGGGCAAGACTTCCAGGAGCGGGTGTGTGCCCAGGCTCCAAGGATGTAGACAGCACCTGAGAACTTGAATGGGAACCTGTGGAACCCAGAGGTGGGTGTAAGGGTGGAGGGAGGGGTGCTGGCAGGGAAAAGAAAGTAAAGGCTCTTTTAGTTGTAAGTAAAATTAAAACCAGTGTAAGTCAGAAGGATACTGGATGATCCCACGGAGCTCCAGGTAACTGGGGCTTTAGTGGGACAGGCATCACGAAGGAGGTTGACACTCTGCCTCCTTCCCAGTGCTCTCTGGCCCTCCCCTCTGTTTGTTCCCCTGCAGGGGTGTCCCCTCCCCTTTATCTCTCCAGAGCTTCACTCAGTTTTAGCCCAGACCTTGGTTGGTTCGCTGTGGTTTGGAGCCCCTGCCACACTCCTACTACAGTGAATGTGGTTGGTCCCACCTTGGGTCGGGTAAACATCTCTGGTCCAATAGGGTGTGTCCAATCATGGCTCCTCTGGCTCTGCCCTGCCTGGGTCCTCCAAGAGCTCATGTGTTGAAACAATGTAAAAATTTCAGAGGTGAAATGATTAGATGATGAAAGGTGTAACCACCAATATGGATTAATTGTAGGCAGGTAGGGTGTGGTTGGAGGAAGCAGGTGGGGGGGTCGCCTTTGGGGTTTATATTTTGTCCTCGGTAAGTGGAGCTCTGTCTTTTCTGCCCGGTGGCCATGTCCTGAGCGGCTTTCCTCTGCTTTGCCCTTCCATAGTGATGCTCTGCCTTACCCCAGGCCCAGAGCTATGGATTTGGCCAGTCATGGATGGAGCCTCTGAAACCCTGAGCCAAAATAAACTTTTCCTTCTCGACATTGTTCTTGTCAGGTATATTGGTCACAGCAATGCAAAAGCTGACGAAAACAGATGTCTTCCTCAAGGATGTGGGCAGACACCCAGAGTACGCCCACTCGTGGAAGGCTGCACCAGAGACCGAGAGGGGCAGAGATGCCGAAGAGCTAGGTCCTGCTGGGGCAGGCCAAGATCAAGGATGCTGTGTTTCTTAAGGACAGAGACTGTAAAGAACTTGTAATGAAAAAAATGGCAGTACAGCTCTATTCTGAGCTCTATTCCAGGATACAGTCAATCTACTTCTGGAAAACTCATCCTTTTTTTTTTTTTCTCTTCAGAGTTAGCCAAACACTTTCTATAGCAACTCCTATGAACCAGTGTACAAGCATGAAATGTGAGCAGCCCAAGTTCTGCACCCAGTTGGCTTTTGAACCCCAGGGCTGGGTAATACCCCTGAGCTATCATTAGTTGCCCATTCAATGACAACAAAAAAAGTTCTTGATTCTGAGTTTGGACTCATGGGGTCCCAGCACTACCAACGCTGTCTGAGGGGGACAATGTACAACGTGCTGGGCCTTCAAGCACTGAGGGTTTGCCGTCTCTGTCCAAGAGTAGGGGTGGCTGCAAAGCCAGCCCCGCTGGCTCTCTCAAGTCTCCTGGCAGGAGACAGAATGATGGGTTTGGGTAAACCAGGATCCATCCTCCTCACTCCCAAAGGCCATTAAAAAGAAGGGGCTGTGCCCTACACAACCACGGACTTTTAAAATTTTTATTTTTTATACAAATGGCGCACAACTTGTCATTTCTCTGGTTGAATAAGATGTAGAGTCACACCATTTGTGCAATCATACCCATACAGAGGGTAATAATGTCCCTCTCCTCTGCCCAATCCAATGCCCCCCCCCCCCCCCCCCCGGCCACCTTACCAGAGAAAACATTTGGCCTTTGGTTTTTTGGGATTGGCTTACATTATCTTAGCATGATGTTCTCCAACTCTATCTCAAACATGGACTCTTAAACCACCTCTTTCAGAGTCACCTCAAGTCAAAGCAAGGCATCTTGGTGGAAAGCAGAATATACTTACTGGGGCACGCGAGAAATATCCAAGGTCTTCTTTTTTACTCTGACGGACAGAAGGAGACTGGGCCTGGAAGTTAAGCCTTCTCTTCTTACTGCCTGCCCTCTGCTCTCAGGCTGCTCAGCTGAGAGGACAGCCTCTGCTGGGTTCATCTGCTTCATTTTGAGCCTGGCTGTGTGTGGGGGACAGGCTATTTCTCTTAGGACTGGGGCATGGTCCCTCCCTCTGTGCTGGGTGCAACAGGGCTCTGGTGCGGGGACAAGGCCCTGGGAATTTTGTTCAGATCTAGGCGAGGGCTGTGGCTGCCAAGTCCTGACCTGGAGCAGCAGGGTGTCCAGGTGCCATAGTGCCCCATCTTAGGATGGGAGAGACTTGCCAGATGGCCTAGAACCCTGTCTTACCACATGGCTGGGAGTGCTGATCCACCTGAGCAAAGGAACCAGAGAACACAGGGAGGGCTGTAGGAGGAAATGACCTGGCAGTGGCCTGCCAGTTCAAGGATTACCCGGCAGCTGCCAATGGACAGACCAGGTGTTTCTTCAGGGGAAGGCTGTAGCTTTTGGTAGCTTTATGCCTTTATTCAGGAGAGAGGAGCTCTTGCTCTTGTCCTTGCTTTGAGATTGCATTCTCCACACATGGTAACACCCCAACATGATTGCATGGTTCTGGGGAAGGAGCACAAGTCTGGAAAATCAGAAGTTTGATGGTATTAACTGTGTAACCTCTAGCGAGCCACTTAACCTCTCTGTGCCTCTTCTTTATCTGTATAGTGGATCTAATAATCTTAATTTTGAGGGCATAGGGTTGTTGTGATGAGCAAAGGAGATGGTGCAAGTAAGGGCAGTTTGTGAACAACTCTCAAGAGCAAGGTCGTGGCAGCACATCGTTGCT